AAAAGGTTGATCTAAACTACTCCTAAATCAATGTGAAGGTTTGGTGAAGGTATTTCTGTAGAGCATGTAAGATAGTTTTATAGTTTTTTCAGAATTGTTGAAAATTTTATACAAGATCAGCTAGCATGCAGCTCAGGCTCCCTGATTTAGTATAAACTTTGCGTATTTGATATAATCTCTGAGCCATCAGAGTCTTAAGAGGGTCTCTAAGACTACAGACTCTCTACCTACACACAGGAAGTGCTGACCCCTTTTTCGGAGAATTGTTAGGTCACTAAGTGGTGGGCGTTGATCTCTTATGTGGAGCAGGTGTGGTTTGCAGCATATGTTAGCATGGCACTGTGGCCCGGTGATGCTGGAGTCCCACAAATAAGAAGGTTGCAGTGAGATTGCAGATATGCAGATGTGCAATCTCACTGCTTTGAAGTATCTGCAACCACTTGAGTCAGTGGGTGATGAAGTCAGTCTGCAATCAGTTTACAACTGAATGGGGTCAAGTTGGCATTTACACACAATATCTGTGTTATTGTGTGCAATCATTTCCTCTCTTGCAAAGAGTCATGTAACAAATAATTTGCCCTCATTGGTCCAGACTGACTCAGTCTGATTGCAGCACGTTGGCAGTCTGTCTGTGGTTATACATTAATACGGTGATCACATGGAAAACTGTTTGTTTGACTGTTTGTTTGGAGACAGGTTGCCTCCCACCAGGTGATCTGTGCAATCGCCTTGTTATTACAGTTATTAAAATCCCAGAGGTTAAGCTTATTGGAACCTCTGGTGAGCAGATGCAAAAAAATTCAGTGCAATCGCCTGGCAACCACCGATTTTTCCCACCCACGATGTTCATGTCCTATTTTCACTTAATGTAACTGAGCCAGAAAGACGTGACCCACCCTTATAAGAATGTACATCCAGGGTTAAACACAAAGTTAGCACGATAAGCCTCAAATCCTGCTGCATAGTACCAGCCTGTGATGATCGTGGCAGGTAAACTGATATGTCAGTTGTAATGTAGGGCAGACCTGCACTCACTCACACAGTCACATGGTCAGCTTCCCTCCTCCAGGTTGGATTTTTATCTCAAGATAATGAGCCACAGTCTTTGCGTCACTTTAAAAGCCAAAAAATAAACTGACTTAATCCTGACCTCTCTGAGTCAGACTGGTGAACTCATTTACAGCAGGTGGTATGGGAATACTTGTAGCTCCTCGGGGTTCGTATTTAGTCATGATGGGGGTGAACCTACAAACCCATTCTGTTTGCAATACACTTTCACAACAGTCGTGGATGTTTGTCTGGCTGCCACTTAAAACTGTTCCAGTTATCGATTCAGAAGCAAAAACAGTTCACGTGCTTTGCCACGCCTGTGCATGCTCATTAAAGTGTAGGGTGAGATGAGCAACCGCAGGCCGGCGATGTCTCAAAATGCAGCAGCTCTTTTTCTAAGAAACAGAAACCTCAGGAAGCACGTGACGACTGCGTCTGTCTCTTCAGGCTGCAGGCGCACAGATCCAGCGCGTCGATTGGTTGGTTACATCTCAGAGATCGTGCGAAGATTAAGGAAAGATGAACTAAAACTAGTTTCCTCTCACTTTTAGTAAATGCAGTTAGTCAGTTTCTTCTGCTCTTAATGTGGAGGAGCTTTGTAGCTTTTATTCTGAAAGCTACAGTAACCAAGCACTTGACTAACAGCTCTGCCATCAGTTCTGCTTTTACAAAGACTTATTTTTTTCAGCTTTTCTTTATCATCATAACACCTCATAAATACTATCATACATGAACCGGTCAGAATATTAGGAACACCCAGAAGCCCACCATCACTAACTACAAACTCCATAATTAACGTGAACGAACTGAAAAATTGGATCTAAAAGTTTCCCACGGCTGATGGTAACGTGTTTACAGTTTTGCCCGCCTGTTAGCAGGGCTGGCATCGCCGCTGCTGAAAGCTGATGCCGGGTTTATAGCTTAATAGCTCCTCTGTTTGAGAGAGTTGAATATTTAATCTGTCAGCAGGACGTCACAGACCATCAGAAATACTCTGATAAGTTTATCAGCGGCACCCAGCGAACTTAATGTTAAATGTGCTGCAAAAACAGCCTTTAGTTTTCAGCTGGTTTTAGTTGCTCGTCCCTGCAAGACTTTTTAAAACTAGCAGAAAATTTTTAATATAATATAATTTGAAATGTCAGAATGAGTGACGCCGAAGCAAACCTAAGCAAGAACTGAAGGAAGGTAATCAAATGTTCAGATTTGAGGTTTTCTTTGTTGTTGTGGTCGACATTGTTCTCCATTTTTAAAGGTTTGATTCACTAAAATAATTAGAGTAACCTTTATTTACATCATGTAAACATATTACATATAAACGTGTGTGTTCATCTGCTGTGGGTGCTGGCCG